AATGTTGAGGTGGAATCTCTTTTTCTGTAGCTTGAATCCATTGCTCCAGGTCCTATTCTCACAAGCTGTAGAAAACAAACTTGCTCCATCTTCAGCATGTCATCCCCTCAAATATTTAAACAGGACTATCATATCACCTCTCAACCTTTTCTTCTCCAGGTGGAACAGCTCCCTAAGCTTCTCCTCACAAGGAATAGTTTCCAGACCCTTCACCATTTTGGTCACCCTCCTCTGGACATGCTTCAGCTTGTCCAAATCCTTTTTGAATTGTGGTGCCCAGAACTGGACACAGTATTCCAGGGAGGCCTGACCTAAGCAGAATAGAGTGGTACTTTTACTTCCTTTGGAGTAGACACTATACGTCTATTGATGCAGCCTAGAATTGCATTGGCTTTTTTAGCTGCTGCATCAGACTGTCAACTCATGTCCAACTTGTGTCTGCTTTGAATTCAAAGATATAGCCATGTTAGTCCATAGAACCAGTATGTATGGAGATCTTGTAGCACCTCTGAGACTAAAGTCCAAAGCACACTGCAGAAATAATCCCATTTGAGACCGCTTTATCTGTCCTGGCTCAATGCTAGGGAATCCTGGGAATTGTCATTTATTGTGGCACAAGAGCTCTCTCACAGATAAGGTTAAATGTCTCACAAAACTACACTTCCCAGAATTCACTAGCATTGAGCCAGGGCAGTTGAAGAGGTGTCAAACTGGATTATTTCTGCAGTGCAGCCAAACTGAAAGAAAGAAGTTGGCAGCATGAGCTTTTGTAGACTAAAGTCTACTTCCTCAGATGCTTTTATGTCTGCTTCGTTTATGAATCTTTCTGAATTCTGAAAGAAAGTTATCTATTCCTTCTCTGACTTGTGCTACGTTAGGCACATTCTTTAATGCTTTAAAAAGTTCTTGCAAGGACTTCCACTTGCTTTTGCTGTTAGGAACTGTGATGCCCTGTCTGCAATGTACAATATGTGTCTATTATTTCTCCCCATTTTTGAGGTCCACATTTATTAGTGTTCCAATTACACTCATTTTCTCCCAGTTGCACTTTTTTTTGTGACCATCTCCCTACTTAAAGCAACCTTTGACTGTGTCCATGACTGCAGGTGTGTCATTCTAGGTATGGTTAAATTCTGTGCATATTCTCCTGCTTTAGAAATCAGAGCATATACTTTTGAGCTTACCCCCTCCCCCCATGTTTTCTCAAGTTTGAACTTTAAAAATAAGCAAACATTGAACTTGGTTGGATTTAGCACTGTGTAAATATTGTAAGGAAAGCAGGCTTGGACATGGAAGAGGGAAGATTGAAAATAGGAGGAAGAAATATCAACAATCTGAGATATGCTGATGACACCATAATACTAGCAGAGAATTTCAGAGACCTGGAACAACTACTAAGGAAGATCAAAAAAGAAAGTGCAAAGGCAGGCTTAATGTTGAACATAGAGAAAACAAAAATAATGACCACAGAGAATTTACACACATTCAAACTAGACAATGAGGAAATAGAAATAGTAAAAGAGTTCTCGTATCTGGGATCAAACGTTGATAGGAAAGGGAACGCAACCAGGAAATCAGGAGATTAAGAATTGGGAGGGTGGCTATGAAAGAACTAGAAAAGATCCTAAAATGCAAAGACATACAACTCAGCATAAAAGTCAGAATCATACAAGCCATTGTATTTCCTATTACCATATATGGATGTGAGAATTGGACAGTTAAGAAAGGAGATAGGAAGCAAATAAACTCATTTGAAATGTGGTGCTGGAGAAGACTGCTGATGATTCCATGGACAGCCAAAAGGACAAACAAATAGGTCCTAGAGCAGATCAAGCCAGAGATATCCCTAGAAACCAAGATGACAAGACTTAGCCTGCCGTACTTTGGACACATCATGTGAAGGCATGAATCATTGAAAAAGACAATAATGTTAGGAAAGATGGAGGGAAGTAGAAAGAGAGGAAGACTACAGGCTAGATGGATGGACTTTATTAAAGAGACCACAAATATGAGTTTACAGGAGCTGGGCAGAGCAGTAGAGGACAGGAGGGCCTGGAGATGTGTCACCCATAGAGTCGCCATGGGTTGATGTTGATGCAAAGGTGGTTAACAACAATAACAAAAAAGGCTCATCTAAATGGGCTTCCACTTCAACCTGTACAGGACTGAGCTTTGCAAAGACAGGATGTGAGTCCCATTTAATTTTTAAGAAAATGGCATCGGACAGACCTACAAATCTGCCTTTATAATCCACCCAGTCCACAGCTTATTCAAATCTTGATGCTTGTGCTCCCATCTCTAGTTCTAATGAGGATTAGTAACTGACCATTATTTTTCACCTTAAATTTCTTCTTCATTATAGTGCCATATAATATAATGGCACTCCTGATTTTAGGAAGAAACTAGCAAAAGTTTTATTGCCTATGAAATTCATGCGGTTGCCATAAATCAACAGGTGATTTGAAGGCAAACATGTACACAGAATCATAGAATTACTTGAAGATTCAGAGGAATCTTTTGTAAACCTTTTCAAAGATTCAAATGAATCTTTTGCAATCTTCCTTGCCTTTCTGATATTTTAATAACAGTAAAGTGACTGGGAATTTTGTCTCTGTCTTCAGTGATTTTCAGAATACAACAGAGTATGCAGGAGGGGGAAGGCTGGGGAGGAACTGAAAGTGAACACTTTTTTGAATGAAGAACCTCTGTGAAATGAGGGCTCAGAGAAATTGTGCTTTTGTTTTGGAAAAGCTTTCTGTAAGCCTGAAACAACAGACGGCCTTCAGGTAACCATCTGGTTCTTCAGGATTTATGTATAAGCACAAAACATCTAACTGTTTAGTCAGGATGGAACAGATGATATTCAAGCAATGGTGTAGCAATGTAACAGGATAAGGGCATTGCCCCCCTGCACGGAATTTTCTTTCAGTCTGCAAATTTCTAGCATTGCAGGGAATGAGACACTGAAAATCATTTCACACCTAAAGCTTTTATATGTGCTGTGTCTGCATTCCTTTAGTCACTTTGTTGTTGTGTGCCTTTAAGTCATTTCCAGCTTATAGCAACCCTAAGGCGGACCTGTCACAGGGTTTTCTTGGCAAGATTTGTTCTGAGAGCCTTTGCATTCATCTGAGGCCGAGAGAGTGTGACTTGCTCAAGGTCACCCACTGGGCTTCCATGGCCGAGCAGGGATTCGAACCCTGGTCTCCAGAATCGTAGACCAGTGCTCAAACCACTTCACTACGCTGTCTTTCTTAGTCACTTTGCTTGCCCTTTTTTCCCCCTCAGAATGCCTAAATTGTATTTCTAAATTCTTAAAGTCAAAGGCTTTGTTGGCTGGCATCCATGATTTTCTGTGGGTTTTCCAGGCTATGTGGCCATGTTGAGGAAGAATTTATTCCTGATGTTTTGCCTGCATCTGTGGCTGGCATCTTCATTCCTCTGAAATAAAGTTTTAAATAAAGTTTTATGTTGCTACAAGACTAAAAATTTGGGGACTGAAGAAAAAAAAAATCATTTGGAAAGCAGACTTCTTATGGGGGGAACAATGTCTTCATTTTGCCCCTCCCTCCATAGTTACACTCTGCCTTTTTCAGCTAATCTGGGCCCACAGTTGAATGTCTCAAGAGGGCAGTAAAGGAAGTTAGAGCTCATCCCTGCAGTAGTTGTAAGGAATACTACTTGTGCAGAAGGGGAAGTGACTCTATTATAGCAAGGAACAGGCTACTAACCAGGGTCACTAAATGGAGACCCCCTGTTTCAGTGCAGTATACCACTGAATACATTGAAAAGGGGATGGACAACTGGGTTGACTTGTGGGTGGCTTCCTGAAAGATTACAGCTGGCTGTGACAGAAACAAGATGCCGGAATAAAAGTATATCTGCTCTACACACACATATCAGTTTTGTATCATTTTCATTGGTATGGCTCCATCCAAAAAAAAAAAAAAAAATACTGGTGTTTGTAACTGGGAGGGAGGGTGCTTAGAAGATGCCAAAATACACAATCGAAGAGAAGAATTAGGATTAAATCAGTTTAATTCTGTAGTGTGGACAAGTACTTGGGAATGGACAGAGGGCATGCTTAATAAATTTGCAGGTGTCACCAAATTAGGAAGAGTAGCTAATACCTCAGAGGACAGGATCAAAATTCAAAATAATCTTAATAGATTAGAAAGCTGGGTCAAAACTAACAAAATGAATGTCAACAGGAGAAATGTAAGCTTTTGCATGCACTAAGAGAGAAAAAAATGAAATGCACAGATAGGGGGACTCCTGGCTTGTCAAGACTACATATGAAAGGGATCTAGGAGTCCTAGTAGACCACAAGTTGAACATGAATCAACAGTGTGTTGCGGCAGCTAAAACAAGCCAATGTGATTCTAGACTGCATCAGTAGAAGATCAAGAGAAGTAATAGTGCCACTCGCCTGGAATACTGTTTCCAGTTCTGGGCACAACAGTTCAAAAAGGATGGTGAGAAGCTGGAGTGTGTCTAGGGGAGGGAGACCAAAATGGTGAAGGATCTGGAAACCATGCCCTATGGGGAGAGAGTTAGTGAGCTGGGTATGTTTAGCTTGGAGAACAGATGATTAAGAGGGAATATGATAGCCCTGTTTAAGTATTTGAAGGCATCTCATATTGAGGATGGAGCAAGCTTGTTTTCTGCTGCTCCAGAGACTAGGACCTAGAGCAATGGATTCAAACTAAGGGAAAAGAGATTCCACCTCAACATAAGGAGCAACTTCCTGACGGTAAGAGCTGTTGGACAGTGGAACACTCTCCCTCGGAGAGTGGTGGGGTCTCCTTTTTTGGAGATTTTTAAACAGAGGCTGGATGGCCATCTCTGTCCGGGGTGCTTTGATACTGTGTTCCTGCATGGCAGGCAGAGGGACCGGATGGCATTTGAAGGCTCTTCCAACTCTAGCATTCTCCGGAGTTCTCCAACAAAAGTCTTGAGTACCTCGTCAAACTACAGATCCCAAGATTCCTTCCATCGGAGTCGTGGCAATTAAGGTGGTGGGCAATGGCTATAAGGAGACCCAGGCTCCCTGTTGTCAAGGTCGAGGGAGGGTCGGGGAAGGAAGTGCTTTAGGAACCTCAGAGGGTCTTTGGGGGGGGGGCGGTAGCCTTGATCTTCCTTCGGGCGAGCCAGGGCAAGAACTTTGTCTCCCAACCAACTTGGAGGCAGCCAGGCGCTGGGAAAAAAGGGGGCAATCCCTCCTCTCTCTTCCTCGCCAGAGGGCAGCCCTGCGCTTTCTGCAGCCCGAGGATGCTTCCTCTCCCTTTGGGGGAGATCTCAGCTGAGGGTGGGGTCCTTTTTTATTTTATTTTTTAAAAAATATTTTCTGGGGGGAGGAAGGGAAGAGGAGGGTGGGATGCAATTCCTTGCAAAAGATTGACGGTGCGGCTCCAAGGCTGCTCGCCTGGCTTTCCTCACCGGCCTCTTGTTTGACATGCTGCCTTTTGGAGACAAAACGAGGTACTCCTCCTTCTCCTTCTCCTTC